TATAATAATAATAATTAATTTTTAACCTTAATAAACAACCTTGCTCTCTCACCAAAATCTAATCCCCATCGACACCAATAGGCCGCACATCAGCCAACCTGTGCCTGACGTCTGAGTGCATAACCGCGGCGTCGGATCTCCTGAAAAGTATGGACCGGAGTGTCGACCCGTGCTTTGACTTCTTTGACTACGCGTGCGGTGGTTGGACTCAAACCAATGCCATCGATGAGGACGAGTCCCGCACCGACACCTTCACTGTTATGCGCAATGAGTTGACCGATAAGTTGAGAAGTAATTGAAGTTTTTGTTTGTTTGGGCTTTACTTTCAATTAATTTTAGTTTTTTCACTTTTACTATAATTACGGCTATATTAGCATTTGTATGTCTGCGTACTAATTCATGGCCACACGTATTAGGGATTAATCAATTTTAGTTGTATGGCTGAGCACCGGTAGGCATTGTAATTTATTATGCCAGTGTGTGATTACAGGTTTTTTATATGTGGTTCAGTACCGCACTGTATGCTAACCTGGATTTGAACACATATTAGACTGTTTATTGTATTTGAAGTTCAATTTGAATGTTATCTAAGCTTATGTCTAATGAAATTAATATTTATGTTATTTATTCAAAAGTTAATTAAAAGGTATTATTTGATTTATAATTAATTATTCATAAAATCAAAATATTTAGATAATAAAATAACTTTATTAGCCATATGTTTCAAGCACTTTACAGTGGCTAATTAAGTAAATTAATTACATTTTTAATAAACTAGAAATTAATTATACACAATAAAAGTAGCTTATACGTTATCAAACCAATTAATTTTTAACAAAACTGTTAATTAGCTATATTATATAAATTTTTTATCTCATAATCAATTATGTTATAACTTATAAGTAATATAATACTAATAATTGTTTTCAAATAATATTTTCTCACAAATATTTTTTTGTCTCAATTGACAGCAATACTCGAGTCGCCCATTGATGGCAAGGAATCCAATGCCACCAAAAAAGCTAAGATTGTAATTGAAAAGCAAAAAATACAAACATTTCATATAACTTATTTTTCTCATGTAATCTTAAACTTTTAACACACAATACACTCTCAATAGTGTACCAAATAATACACATTTTCTAATGACTTTCAATTTTCCCCAACAAATTCAATGGACTGACACTATAACACGAAAACCAATGCTCCCAATAATGTTTTATAAACTAATATTCAGACAAATATATTAATCAAAACATTATTGCCCTTCATATATTAAATATACAGTATTATATTTTCTACCAATAATTTCCGGGGGTTTACACACACTTTCTCTCCCCCTCTTACAAAAAACAATTACACTATTATTAAGCCATAAATTAATAGTAAAATCGCTTAATATTAGCGTTAATACTGTTTATTACAATTGAATTCAATTATGCAAACAGTTGTACACGTCTTGTATTAACGAAGACCTCATTGAGCAAAGAGGTTCCCGGCCTTTACTGCAATTGCTGGATGACCTAGGTGGTTGGCCTCTTTTGAAACAGGCTCACACTGGCGCCCATAATGGACCCAGGTCGACCGCAAATACATTCTCATCAATCAATAATTGGGTAATTATTTATTTATTCAATTTATTAGACATTAATGTAAACACACTTTTTTCTATACACTTCTCACTTGTCTCTCACCGTTTAATTTGTTGTATAAATTATTTGTGAGATTTTTTATTTGCTTTTTTGTTTGTATTTGTTTTGTAATGAATTTGTATGAGTTGTGAATTGAGTTCATAAGTGCTTTTCAATTGCGAGAGAGAGAGAGAGAGAGAGAGAGAGAGAACTAATTGAAAGTTAAGTTTTTCAAAAAAATTTCACTTTTTTCTAAATTTACAAAAAATAAAACATAAGTACACTGTAAATGACCTTTAATAGGAATTAACACACTTATGAACATTATGAGATTTTCTTGAATGTGACCTAAGTCATTTTAATTTAATAACAATTGTAATTACCCAGGTGAGAATCATGGGCATTTTAAGGCAATACAACAACGAGATTATTATTGGCCATAACGTTGGTCCGCACGAGTATAACGCGTCTACCTATGCTATCAAGGTAATTTTACTTATTAATTAATTACATTATCAAAATTTATGATTTAATATTTATTTTATAGTTTAATTTAAAACTTGATGCTTTATAATTATTTGTTATAAATTTTTTGCTAGCTTAAACCAATACTACTTTATAATACTGTAGAACAAACTAAAATATATATTTTTAAAAATTTAAATAATATATAACTTCATAATAATAATTAATTTCAACCTTGATAAATAACCTTGCTCACAGCTATACCCGGCCACGTTAGGCCTGTCCAGCGCCGACTTTTACCAAAACACCAGTTCCCGTCAATACAAGGCTTATCACAAACTGGTGGTCGAGTACACCCGCCTACTAAACGCCCCGAACCTGACCATTGAGGCGGACATTGAGGACATACTGTTGTTTGAGTCACGACTGGCCAATATATCCCGACCCTACGAGAAAAGTGGCGGCGCCTCCTATCAGCGCATGCCTATCAGGAAACTCACGCGACTTGTGCCCCAAATAGACTGGAAACTGTACCTCGAGTTAGCCATACCGGTGCCCGTCAACGACACCGAGTTTGTCGGCATATATGGTTTGGACTATTTTGTTGACACACAGGAGCTCATTGGACAGACACCTAACCGGTATTTAGCAGTAATTTACTTATTATTAATATATTAAATTAATTATTTTCGATAGGACCTTGCTTAATTATTTGCTATGGAGGTTTGTGA